TCCAGAGGTAGGGGGAACTTGACTCAGGACCAGAGGGGTTCTTGGCACATGTGACAGAAAAGAATTTCGGCATGCACCATGCAAAGTCAGAGATAGAGGTTTATTTAGGAAGTAGATACACACTGAAGGGAGAGTGTGGGCTACAGAGAATGAGAAGCCTCACCTGGGGTGGGGGCTCCACTTTTATAGATGGGCTGTAGTTAGGGGCCGGACTGGAGGTGGAGCCAGGGTGGAGCTGGGCAATCCTGCACCAGTCTTCCCTGAGCTTGCAGGTCAGGGGCGTGTTGCTCAGGTTCACAACTGTGCTTTCTGCATCTTAGTGGCTTGTGGGTGTTTCCTTTAAGACTCAGTCTCTCTCCTTATCCTAAATCCCTATCTCAAACCAGTCACATCCAGAGTTGCACCTTTGCCTCAGATATGACGTTTCTATTGAAGGGATTTCACTGGGGTGCCTGGCTTTGGAGACAGGGTTGAAAGCATTTGACCAATGCCTGCTGTATCCTGTTCTGGTGGCTTCTGGGTAGGATGCAGTTAACATCATGAATGAGTCCTTCCCCCTGTTGTGGGTTCACACCATGGTCTTGCAGAGTTGGGTGCACACCCATTGGTTAGCAATGGGCAGTTTATTACAGGGAACGCCTCATGTTTAATTCCCTTCTCTTGGTACCTCTAGAAATTGCCACCAACATGGTGGAGACAGTGTCGGTGGGTCATGCTAGGGAGCTCACTGACAATATCCAGAAATACAAAGATGAAAATGATGATAAAGTCCCGGATCCCAACACACTTCCCTCCACTCTGAGTGTGTGAACCTATTTTGCAAAAGATGGTTAAACTCATAGTTATGTGATCCTGCAGCCTATTTCGTCAACTTCACTTTATGATGAGCTCATATAGACATGATTAATTTGCATATATAAATCATAGGGTCTGATACCTATCTATTTAAACATGAACGTCTACTGACGTATTTTCTAGGAAGTGTGGGAAGGCTGACAGGGCAGACAGGGAAGAGTGCCTTGCGTGCTGCCCTGCGAAGGGCTGGGGTGAACCTGTGCCCAGGCAGCGTCTGTAACGAGGGACCTGTAACTGTGCCTCGGCTTGGTTCACTGCTGGTGCCTCGGAGCGGGACCAGCTCGGGGCTGGGTGTGGAGCCTCTGGGCAGGGGTGGGGAGCGGCTCGGCCTGCCTTCAGCTCAGCCTCCTCCACCTAGGAGCTGTGAGGGCAGGAGTGCTCCACCTCCCCCAGACTCCTGTCTGCCTCAGAAAAGCAAGGTTGGCAACAGTCGCACCTTGTGGGCTGTGAGGGAAATTCAGCAGACAACTCACAGACTGTTTAGACTCTAGTTACATTAAGCTTCAGCCCTTTAACGCCATGATTTCCTGAGTGCCCCCTTGGTAAGGCCACATCACGTCCAACCCAGGCCCCTTGGTCCTTCCTTGGCCCTAACTCCAAAGTCCCTTCCACGTGTGGAAATGGACCCTGCTGGAGATGGACCTGCGTCAGCTCTTGGGTGTCCTCACGTCTGGACATCACAGCAGTCCTGCGCCGTGTGGGCCGGACACTCCCTGCAGGAGGGGTGGTAGCCTTGCTCAGTAGAAACCCGATCAGGTCAGCCATGCTCACACCCCTCTTTTGGCTTTCGGGGGCTCTGGGGATAAAGCAGAACTTCCAGAAAAGGCTGGTGAGGAGCCTGTGTGGCCCTGCCTTGGCCTCCCCCAGGTGGCCCTCCCAGGCCGCAGCACTGGGGCTCCTTCCTGCTCCTCCTCCCTGGTGGACCACCTCCAGAGCCCAGCGTGCCCAGCACTGGCTCAGGACCCTCCTGATGCCTCTGGCCACGCCCCATCCTCCAGTAATACAGACCTTGGGCAGCCCCTGCTCCCGGGGTGGCCACTGAGCATACTGTGGCCTTCCGGTTACTACTGCCCAGGTACCACAGGGCGTGGCCTCCTGGTCATTGGCTGAATGAGTGGAGGAGAGAAGTTAGAAAGCAGAGGTGTGCAAGCGGGGAAGCGAACAGCACCACGGACCTCAGCTCGGGGCTCGTCTTCCCGCCACGCTTCGTCCTGCTCCTCTGTCCTCCAATCCTGTGTGCACGAGGGCACACACACATTTTCTTTTTTTAAAAAAATAGCTTATTGAGGTATAACTGATATTTTTAAAGCTGCACATATGTAATATATACATTTTTGGTGAGTTTGGATACAAATTTTCGTGTTATACTTAATTCTATTTAAAAACAGGATCACATAATCAGTGATGCTTTAGCCTGAGTTTTTTTCATTAATACACTGTTAACATTTAACATCAAGAAAACTCTGCTATCTAATTTTCAAAGATGCTGAACTTCCTGTTATGCTCTAGATGTCCTCTTCTGTCTTTCCCTTTGGCCGATTTTCCGGCATCTGCTCTCCGACATCCCTCTAAGATCAGTGCTTGAGTTTAAGATGCTGGAGACAGAAGTATGGAGAAAATAGCACGTAAGAGACTGTGCTTTATTTTACTCACCACTTTAATGACTTTGAAGAGGCGCGTCTGGAGAGAGCGCAAGATGCAGAGCGTCCAGCCGCCCCCATCTCTCCGGCGGCAGACAAGGCCAGCCCTGAGGCTGTAAGTCATCAGACTGTCGGGTCTGACCCACGGGTGCCGTGGTCCAGCTCCTTCCAGACACCTCCCGTCAGCCTCACTCGCAGCTTTCTGACCCCTAGCCAGTGCTGGCCTTGGCCCCTTTCTCGTTTTGCCATCTTGACATACAAGAACACCATCTCATTATTTGCCTTTATTTAATTTCTAGATGATGGATTTTCATGTTTATCGTATGCTTAAATAAACAAGTGAAAATTAGATACTATCCCCATTTTCATATGGCAACCGGAGGGCAAACTGACCTGCTTCAGGTCTCAGAGCTGGGGGCCAACTGAGGCAGAGCTAAAGTTCAAGTCCAAGACTAAGTCCTTCTGCCTACAAAGCCCCTGCTGCCTTCCTGAATGGCTTTTACTTGTCTGCTTTCTCTTTCCACCCAGACAAGAAGAACGTTGCCCTGTGCAGAGTCCAAGATGCCACTCCACCTGGCCTGGAATTCGGTAAGCAGCACTGGCCTTAGGGTCCCTTCCTGTGTGGTCTGGTGCACAAGGAGTCGCTTTGTGAATATGCTTGCTTCTCTGTCAGGTGGAAGAAATGGTTCAGGATGCGATCACTAGACATCTGCAAGCTTTCTATGACACGCTGCAGTCCTATGACCTCAGAGACACAGGGACCATCAGTCGAAGTAATTTCAAGAAAATCATGCACACTTTCTGCCCATTTTTAACAAATGAACATTTAACAAAGTAAGTTTTTTGTTTACAAAATTAATTCACTTCATGGCTTTCATTGTCTCACAAATCCAAATATTTAATGTTGTTTTGCAATGCTAATAGCTTAAGTTAATGATAGCTATCATTGATCAAGTCCTTCCTAAGCACTGGTCAT